CGTCAAACTGGCTTATTTTGAGTTATCAGTCATCCATACTCCCCACCGCATCATTTTCCACATGAAGACATTTGTGTATACTTGATTTTTGTTCTCATAATCAGTGTACCTGTAACTTACGCTGTAATGATTAGATCTATTGCCAGTCATCTACTGTGGCGCCCCCCAAGAAGTACATAACGTTGTACGTACTGAATCTTTCGTGTGTCGCAATGGGAGCCCGCAAATTTCATTCTAAGGCATGGAATGGTATGTTACCATTATTTTGCTTCTCTCTCATTCCAGTGGGAAATCGTTTGGTATTTTGAATCAGAGTTGGGTGTGTGATGTGATCTTATGCTTCACACTACTACTTGTAGTGCGGTAAATTGGTATGAGGAACGGGGATGATCGGCTATAGAAATTGAAAAAGGGGTGGGGTGATTCGTTATAACGCTGTAGGCACTGTGCATGATTTAATATGTTATAACACTGTAGGCACTGTGCATGATTTAATATGTGTAAATGTACTAACATCTCCGAAACCTATATAAACAACCTATTAAAAGCTTTCTTATTTTCCCCTTTTCTGATAAATACATTTGAGTTGTTAAAAATCCGAAAAACCTAAAATCCTCCTTTTGGGCGAGCTGCGAAGCAAATCCAAACCTATGTAAAACCGATTTCTATCAGTCTGTTTGTCCGTCCGTCCACCCAATGTTAAAGTTTTTTGCTTGTATATGGGTGTAGTATGTATTATTTTAGGGTCGTTCTAAAACCCCCTCCACCCACACGACCCCCTTGATTGATAATTTCACTTGTGCCCATGTAATACTTGCCGCTGATCACGAATGGGATCTCGTCCGAAACCCTCAGGCACTCGGGCATCCCACTGGTACTTGCGCATCGATTTCTGTAGGGAACACTACCTTACCGTGGTCGAGTAATCTTTTTCTTGGAGGGTTAGGGGCAATCTTTATATATGGGCGTGGTTAACTACAAGCTCGATCAATTTCTTGGAAACTTATTCAGTAAAGAAAATAAAGTTGAAAGGTAAATGTCGGCCTTTACTTTCTTATAATAAAAACATCCCCCAACCAACTAATCCCCCGTTAAAATAAAAAACAAAAACAACAGAAAACAAAGCCCCCCCCAAAAAAAAACCTAAAAAAAGTCGAAGCTGCATTCACGAAGACTGGAATCTGCGCCTTGCCGCTTATAAGTCGAAGCGCTTTTCTTATTGAGCTCTCGTGCAACTCGGCCGATAAAGCAGTTTTGTTGTATTTTATACTTCAGATTTCTCCACCCCATTTATGATAATTGCCCCGACCTTCCTATGAAAAATACACATGCCCAATGGTGCAGATACACACGTCATTTTTAAAAAATAATAATCACCCCAAACCAGCAGCCTGAACGCTTCGTGGCCACCATTCTTATTTGGGCTACGACCAGACTGGCCTCATTTGTATCAGTACATTAACGATGCACGAGTCGCGCAGGTACTTGCGTAGCTGTGATCCGAGTGCATGCATCGCTTTTTAATAACGTTGATGTTTCTCAAACTGGTGAACGATGCGTAACACAGTTCCAAGAGCTCTTTGTTTGATAAAACCACACATTCCATGAGTTTAGGCACCTTATCTGTGTTTTGAGGGATTTGAACGTACGGCGAGGGGGTGGGGGTGTAATAGCCCATACCGTTATGAAACAGTTGTGGTTGGGATTTACACCTTCAAGCACCGGGATTTAGGCCCTTGCACACAAGGGTCTTTTGTATGACGTCGAAGCAACTCTGATGAATTTTTCTGTTGTAATGGATATGAGATTTTAATATCTCCCTTTCAACCTGCATAAGTTCATTCTTGCGAATGGATCGCCAAATCTGGTTTCCAAAGTAGGAGTAATTTGAATCCCACATTGACAATTAATTGCTCGTCCTGTCCCGCTTCTCGAGGGCGGTTGGGAGTCACTCTGAAAGGAATTTTTACATCCCCTGCAATACAATATATCTTCCTTTGGATACGCGCCCATTTGATGTACGGAAGAATTTATCAATGTAAATTGTGCTATTTCAAAATCCACACACCTTAAAAACACGCCACAGATGACTCAATTTAAGCGCAAATTCTCAGTCTGAAGATGATGGTAAACGTGAAAAGTCAACTGCGACAGACCGATGGACAAGGTGGCAAACCGATTGTGCGGAGACTACTAGTCATCCAAGATAATGACTACAAAAGACACGGGCGTAATTTGACCGATGCAATTTTAATGTACTCTCAAAATACAGTGTTTCCTTTTTAAAAAGTAAGCTGGTTTTTCAGCTCTGGCTCAGTACTTGCCAGATATAAATTTATTTGATAATGGTGTACACTAATTCAGTCCTGGGCCTCTGTCGAGTCTTTGAAACCAAAGCTTGCAATCCGAGACGTTTATTGACGTTTAAACACAATTTGCTACTGAGCGCGCTTACGGGAGGATTGTTATTAAGAGTATAATTTGAACCTGAGATTAAAGAGTAAACTCTTCACACACGAACATGTAGGCGTTATAGGTATGGCTGAAAGGGTATTTTACTTACCTGTAAAAGTTTTTACTCTGAAGGTAATTAAATGATGTTTTAATTATGTTTTGTCATAAAAAAACACCTACAAAAAATTCAATGTCATTTGCATATTACCTTCTACAAACATATGTTTAGGTTCATCAACCAGCGCATTTAGTGCCTTGTACAGGACACTTATGATTGACGAGAAATGTTAGTGACTAACACAAGTTGTTTCCACTGTTCTTAGACTGACCCTATGACGATATCCCTCATGTAAAAATACAGGGTGTCTTAAAAGGGAGACTGAGATAGATATGCTTGTTTCATTTATCTATTATATTATAACGTTCTCTTTTGCATTAAACCGAAAACTCCAAATTTCCGTCACAGATGAATTAGCACGAAACAGACCTCGTTAGAAATGGCTTTGGACCAAATAGCTGTTTTGGTGTTGAATTCAAATTCCCCAGACATGGCTTTTTTGTCAGAATTACGTAATGTTTGCTGGAATGCAGAAATTTGCGTTGAAAGAAATTGTCGGCATGTTGAAGGGATCTGGGGCTAGGCTGCGGCGAAAATAAGCCCCTAACTGTGGTTGTTTTTGAACTTATAATGTTGGTTGTGCACTGAATGCCTCGCGCTCTGCAAACCTGTGATTCATCTGTTGCAAAGCCATTGCTGATGCGGTCCATTAAGCCACTGCACTCAGTCGTGTGACGGAAATGTGGATGTCTTGATGTCATTAGAAAGAAGAAATATTTAATAAGCAGGTTACAACCATTTACAAAAGTACATTAAAGAAAATCATCCCATTTCCTTTACAAGACGCTGTATTTCAAGTATAACTCAAAACACCGAGTTACATGTGAAAAGGTCCTCTGGCTCTGCAGATACATCTAAAATGCACAGGAAGTGAAAAACCAATTCGTATTCCAACTAAGTGAGATATTAAATCAGGCAGAGTTCCGTATGGGGGGTGCCGCAGGGGGCAACTTGTCCCACACATTGTTTTAACAAATAATAATGATGTTTCGTCAAATATTAGCACTAATTCTCCTACAAAACAACATCATGACATAACAAAAAGGAGTTGAGACCGTTAGTCAGGCTTTGGATATTTTTCTCCCCAAAACATATGTTGAATAAGCCTGAAGCCATATTCGATTTTCAATTTGCTACCTTCTCACCAGAAGTTGGATACGCTGCCCAGTTCGTAGATGTGAAACACAGTGAAAAGCCACTATGGCTACATGATTCCCTTGCATAGCAATATGATTACGCACTATTCTCTTCTTTACTCTCACTTTCTATTCGCAAAATAATTACAGTTTGCTAATAATGATAGTATTTTCACTGTAGCAAATGACAAAGAATTTTTATTCTTACAATGGGATGATGAAAGGGACGAATTGGCTAATATCAGGGGAAGAGATGTTTCTTGAGAGTACAGGTTGTAAAACGTGATCTAAAAGCTTGACAGAATTCGGAAAGTATGCATAAAAGGGAGAAGCCATTTTAAGGGTTGGCATTATGTAATGACGGCATACATGTACATATCTGTTGTTTATAAATTCTATATCTGGAAGCTTTGTTTCAAATCATAAATAGATGCATTGGAACATGAACGCTGCATGACCACACAATTCGTCTAAAAGTAAAAGATGTGGAATATCACAGAATGTGAGACCTTGACGCCTGCAGCAATGATCTTTGTTGCCCTCAATTTCTTATTCCAGTAAAGTTGACTGCTTCAAAGGCCTAAAATGGTACTTTTCAGTAAATAGCCACAGTTAGCGCAAGTGCTCGAAAGAGACCATGCTTTTAATCACACTAAAAGTGTCCATTGCCGAATTTACTTCTCGTGCACGTTACCGATTATTCCATTACAAGTTGAGATCCCTACCATCATCACCAAAACCAGGACAAAATGAGCAGTGAAATAAACTTCAAACCTACCAAAACGATACTTTGGATGATGAAAGATTCACCCTTAAACCTGGATTCTTTTCTTTCAGGACACTCTACCCAAGCATCACGAGAGACAACGGTGGCCGAAGCCACAGCAACAGAAACAAAGACGACGGCCGAACCAACAACTGTAGTAGGTGAGAGAACAACCATGGTACAGACAAGTTTGGCTGATGTCACTACTAAAGACACCCAAACAACCACTGCCCAACTAACAAGTGAGGTTGTTGAGACAACCTCTCTGGAAGAGACAACCTTGGCTGATGTTTCTACTACTGAGACACAAAGGACCACTTCTCAACCAACTACTGCAGCTGCTGATACAACAGTGGTAGAGACAACTTTGACTGATGTAACTACAAAGGAGACACAAACAAGTACATCGGAACCAAGTAGTGCATCTCCTGTGACAACACTTGTAGAGTCAACTTTGGGTGATGTCACTACCACAGAGACAGCAACAACATCTTCTCAACCTACTACTGCAGCTGTTGAGACAACGATGGCCGATGTCACAGCAATAGAGACACAGACAAGCACTGCCGAACCAACAAGTGTAGTCGGTGAGAGAACAACCGTGGTACAGACAAGTTTGGCTGATGTCACTACTAAAGACACCCAAACAACCACTGGCCAACTAACAAGTGAGGTTGTTGAGACGACCTCTCTTGCAGCGACAGCTGTTGCTGATGTCTCTACTACTGAGACACAAACGACCACTTCTCAACGAACTACTGCAGCTGCTGACACAACAGTGGGGGAGACAACTTTGACTGATGAAACTACCGAGGAGACACAAACAAGTAAAGTAGAACCAAGTAGTACAGCTGCTGTGACAACACTTGTAGAGACAACTTTGGGTGATGTCACCACTACTGAGACAGGAACAACATTTTCTCAACCGACTACTGCATCTTTTGAGACAACTAGAGTAGTAGAGACAACGGTGGCTGATGTCACAACAACAGAAACACAGACAATGACTGCCGAACAAACAAGTGTAGTAGGTGAGACAACAACTGTGGTTCAGACAAGTTTGGCTGATGTCACTACTAAAGACACCCAAAAAACCACTGCCCAACTAACAAGTGAGTTTGTTGAGACAACCTCTCTGGCAGAGACAACCGTGGCTGATGTCTCTACTACTGAGACACAAACGACCACTTTTCAACCAACTACTGCAGCTGCTGATACAACAGTGGTAGACACAACTTTGACTGATGTAACTACAAAGGAGACACAAACAAGTACGCCGGAACCAAGTAGTGCATCTCCTGTGACAACACTTGTAGAGTCAACTTTGGGTGATGTCACTACCACAGAGACAGCAACAACATCTTCTCAACCTACTACTTCAGCTGTTGAGACAACGATGGCCGATGTCACAACAATAGAGACACGGACAACCACCGCCGAAACAACAAGTGTAGTAGGTGAGACAACAACCGTGGTACAGACAGGTTTGGCTGATGTCACTACTAAAGACACCCAAACAACCACTGGCCAAC